AGTGACCTTTCTTGTATTTAACTCACAAACTTTTTCATTTTATATTCGATATGAGATTTTCCTACTTAACATTTACCCTTGACTGATAGTTCCCGATACACACATTTGCTTTGAAGCAAACTAAAATCCTGCATGCTCACAAATTTTAGATGCAAAATAACCAAGGTCAAGATATATATTTATACCAGGATCTAGGAAACACTCGTTGCCAAACTAAAACCATCAACACTTGCGAATTGCAATGGTTTGGTTGGATGTAAATCCACAGACAATACCTCATCTTTAAATGTTTGGACAAAGTCTTTCTGGTCAGAGGATTCATAAGAGTAGCATATGGTACTTCAGTGTAGTCATCATTCACGATGCTCATGCAACAAAAAAAGGTTGTAAAGCTGACATTAAAAAAGATAATAAGGCTGACAAAAAAATGCCTTTCAAAAAATAAAAATAAAAACTGACCAAAAAAAGAAAAGAAAAGAGTCGTAAAGATGGCGTGATTCGTACCTCTATTACAAGTTTGGGAGGCTGCTACATGATAAATAAAAGTGTAAAATAATGAAAAAGTTAATTTTCATCGCATCGTGCTTGAATGATTTTAAGTAATTATAAAATAATTATTACTTTATTAATGATTTAAGTAATTTAATAATATTTTTTAATAAAAATATAAGGTCACAAGTTTGAATTTGATACCGACTAGTAGATGTTGTGAACTAAAAAATATAAGAGAATTGTACATCATTATATGATTAAAAATAAATAAATAAATAAAGCATTACTTCCACCAATCAATCACCCACAAAGATATATTATAAATATTATAATTACAATATTATATAAGACCATAAACTTAGTATTAAATGAATTGATATATATAATATTATAAATAAATTTTAAATAAAAAAATAATAATATAATAATATATTATATTATAAACTTATAATATAACATGGTATTGTAAGTATAATATTTTTGATAATATATAAAACAAAAAAGATAGTAAAAGTTAAATAATTACCAATATATATTAATTGTGGCCAACTCACACCTCTAATGAACTTTGAGTTGTTAGAATCCAACGCATTATGGCCATCTGGATTATTTGATGCTCCTAGTGTTGCTTCTATTATTTTCTTCATTTAATAATAATTAAAGCAAATGTTTGTCAAGTGTTTTTTTTCTTTTTCTTTTTTTTTTAATGATCAAATTTGATAATTTATGGTAAAAAATCATAAATGCCAACTTACCTTGGAAAGTACACATTCAATATGACCAACTATCAGATAAACACATTTCTCATAGATATAGACATGGTTCTTTGGGTCCCTCTTTTCCTCACAAAATCACAATATTAGTCATTATGATTAGAACTTTTGACAATGAATGATTCTATCAATTTTAAACATTTGAATTTGACCACTTATGAATTTTTTTTTTGTTTTTACACAGTCAAAGAATTTTATTTACTGGAGTACAAGGGGTACCTCTGCCCTTAATTACAAAAGAAAACAGTCCCTGAGCATCCACTGGCTTTAGCTAACTTAATCACACAAGAATCATATACTAGCAAACAAAACAGCCAAAGTCAACTAATTGCTCAGTGACAATAATAGGAAAATTCGCAAACCATCAAATTGAGGTATGTTGTTTACCTCTTTTATCCTTAAGACTTAAGACTGGTTCCAACATGCAATCGTGCAAACTGAAGGAATATCTTGTTGTTTTGCCCTTAATCCAGATGAAAGCTCTTAGTTGTACAAGCTCAAACGTTCTATCTACATCATATTCTTGATTTTTGAAACTCTTTGCATTCCTTGCCATCCATAAGGACCATCTAGTGGAGAACCATATCACGTCCCACCCAGCTCTCACTAAAGGGTCTTTAGCAGGGGGCTTATGTTGTTCAAAATCTTCATGGCAAGTCTCCGGTTGAACTGAAATGAACCTCCACCATTGTGCACATTTGCTCTTTACTGAAAAAGCAACTTTGCAGTGAAGGACAAGATAATTGGCGTCTTCGATGTTATCACCACACAATCTGCACATCAATTGATTATGATCGGTTATAATTCGCCTCTTATAAAGATTAAGCTTTGTAGGGATTCTATCCTACAAGACTTGCCAACCAAATGCACTAATTTTTGTGGGGATTAGTTTGCTCCAAATCCTTTCATGCATTTGAGTTCTATTATCTTGGTTGTTACTGGAAAGCATAGCATATGCTGTTTTGACATAATACTTTCCCTCTTTAGTGTACCTCCAATTCCAACAATCTTTTTGATCTTTGATTGGGTGTGTGTTCATGATTAATCTCTGCATCTTTGAATAGTTGTCCTCTTCCCACTCATTCAATGGTCGTCTCCAATGTAATTTCCATTGCCAGTTGTTTCCCCTCCATATACCCATTTGGGAGATCTTCTTTTCTTTGTCTGTTAAAATAAGAAACATTCTAGGAAATCAATTAGCAAAAAGGTTGATCCCCTATCCATGCATCCTTCCAAAAGTTGACAGAATTCCCCTCACCTAGTTTCAATTTAAATCCCCCTGATAGCCATCCCTCATTATTAATACCAATGTGGTCTATCCTACATATATTCCTCCACCATAAAGTTCCCTTATGGCCATACTCCTGCACCTAATCAGTCCACCTACCCTCTACACACCCGTATTTATGATTAATAATTCTATACAACAAGCCTTCATCCTCACTTGCCAGTTTACTCCACCACTTTCCCAACAATGCTAGATTGAACTTTCTAAGGTCTTTAACCCCTAAGCCACCCTCCATTTTGTTTTTACACACATTGTCCCATGAAACCCAGTTAATCCTCCTCTTCCCTCCACTCCCCTCCCCCCCAAGAAAATTCATACGAATTTTATCTAAAGAAAGAATCAAACCTTTTGATAACAAGTGCATAGATATAGTGAACACTGGAAGATTGGATAGCACTGCATTAAGGAGAGTAATCCTTCCACCAAAGGAGAGAAACCGACCTTTCCATAAACTCAATTTCTTCTCAAAAGTCTTAATCAAAGGTTTCCACATAACAATGCTTTTACCACTACCTCCAATTGGCACCCCCAAATATTTGTATGGGATACTCCTTGCTTGCAATTCAAAATATGGGCCATTTTTGACATCCATTCATCTGATACATTAATGTCCATTAGTTGGGTTTTCCCAAAATTAATCTTTAATCTCGATACCAACTTGAAGATTCTCATTATACTCTTCGATGCCCATATGTTGCCCTCTACGACCTTACCAAACAGAATTGAGTCATCGGCGAAATGTAGATGAGACACTCTCATACCCCTATTGCTAATATTGATTCTTTGAAGAGTCCATGGTTAATTGCTGAAGAAATAATACCATTAAAACCTTTTGCAACTAGTAAAAATAAGTAAGGAGAAAATGGATCTCCTTGTCTCAAGCCTTTGTTAATTTTCACTTCTCTGGTAGTATTGCCATTGAGAAGAACTGTCACCTCTGCTATTTGCAAACATTTGTTTATCCACTTTCTCCATTTAGGATCGAAGCCCATCCTCGATATCATGTAATCTAGGAACTCCTAACTCACCTTATCATATGCCTTCTCGAAGTCCAATTTGACACAAAGCTAGCCTTCTTATTTCTCTTTGCTGCATCAATTGTTTCATTGGCAATTACAATGCTATCAACCATTTGCCTTCCTCTAATAAAAGCCATTTGACTTTCTCCAATGATGCTATCCAGAATTGAGCTGATTCTATTTGTGATGAGCTTTGCGATCACCTTGTACATTACTCCGATTAAGAATGTGGGCTTGAACTCCTCAATTTTTTGGGGGTTATTAACTTTAGATATCAACGCAATGAATGAACTGTTAACTCCTTTGACCAATCTCCCATTTTTGTGAAAATCATTTGCAAAACCCATCACATCACCTTTGATTAAGTCCCGCATTGCCCTGATAAAATTGAAATTGAATCCATCTGGCCCTGGTGCTTTAGAGCCTTCACAACTCTATACTATTTGTTTAACTTCTTCTTCGTTGAATGGAGCAAGTAACAAAAGGTTGTCTTCGTCTGAGATCTTCTTGAATTCGATCCCATCAAGATGAGAACGTTGCCACCTTTCTTCTGTGAACAAGTTATGAAAATAATTTGCCACACTTTCTTTGATTTCGTTAACTTGTTTCATGTATTTGTCACCCACCTGTATGCCAACTATTTCATTTTGTCTCCTTCTTCCCTTAACACACCTATGGAAGAACTTCGTGTTAGCATCCCCATCTTTGATCCATGTCTTCCTGGCTTTTTGGCACCACATGCTCTCTTTTGTTTTTTGATGTTTCCATAATTCCACAAAACTATTTCTCCTTAATTGTACATCTTCTTCAGACAAAGGAGCCGCTTCACCTTTTAAGTCAATAGCAGTAATGGAGCCCTCACATCTTTTAATGTTAGAGTCTGTCTTTGAAACCATATTTCTACTCCATAGTTTCAAAGCTTTCTTCGTTGCCTTTAACTTTTCCTTTAGTCGGTAACCATACCAATATGAAATTACTGTTGAACTCCACACCTCGTCCACTAGTTCTTTACACCCTGGTGAATCAAGCCACACATCAAAGAAATGGAATGGTTTAGGGCCCCAATCAATTGTACTATTTTTCATCAAAATTGGGCAATGATCTGACTTCAATCTCTTCAACCCCCGCTGTTTAAAGTCACCCCATGTAAGACACCAATCCTTTGACAACAAAAACCTATCCAGCCTACTCATGACTGCTCCGTTTGGTTGGTACCATGTATATTTCTGACCAATTAGAGGAAGATCAATTAGACCGCATTCCCTGATAAATTCATCAAACTCTGCCATTTCCCTCCTATTAGATCTCCCTCCATTCTATTCATGCTCACTTCTTATGGAATTAAAATCGCCTATTAAGCACCAACAGCCACCTGCTTCCATCGTCAGCTCTTTAATACTGGACCACAAAACTCTTTTGCTAGACATATCACAAGGTGCATATATGTTCAAAATGTGTACATGAATTTTTGAAACCCTTCAGAATCCATAAACACCCACAAAACTCTTACCTTAAATTATACTTTCTCTTTTCAATACATCGCTATTCTAGATACTATTAACACTTCCGATGCTCCTCTTGATGGCTTTGCTGCCTAGTCAAAATTATCTGCCCCCCATATGGTTCTACACAACTGATAATCAACCACTTCTAACTTCAATTCTTGAATAGATAGGAATTCAACTTTCTCTTTCATAGCTAACTCTCTGA